AGTTTGTGATTTCTGCGTTTCAATGAAACATTATTTATTCGTTTGGAAAGTTCAACGGAATTTTGTCATTTGCATTAACTGTCGAATGTTTATGGTAAATTCATTTGAAAATTTGAATAAAGTAAAAAAAAGTTTGTTTGAAGCGTTGATTTACGTTCATTTGTCATCGTGTATTAACGTAATAGCGTACTGGTTTGTGTAAATTACATCGTTTGCTGTGTTCAAAGATTCATTTTGACTGTTTAATGGTTAGTTCGAGAGAGACATTTCAGTGTGATTTGATGGTTTTTGATTGTCAAATGTGAATAAAGTACATGGTTTTTGATTGTCAAATGTGTTTAAGCATTCTTTTACGGACTTAGCGATCATGTTGTTGAATGATTGCACGTATCAGTGGTTTATTTACTTGTTGCTTTTGATAGCAGAGAACGTTTGCACTTCTGTAAGTGCAAGTTTCGTGTAATGTTGTTTGGTTTCCTCGGCGAGCGTGTTTCTCATGTTGTATACTACTCTTTCGAATCGATAGTTACTGCTGTTTTAACGTATTGCCTCAACTTCATTCTCTATTTTGATTGAGTAGGAATGAAGGTATACTTTAATGTTAATCACACCACCTCCACTCCAGTTTATTGCCCATGAATGATTTATTTTGTCTTTTTAATGCTCAACAGTTTCTGATGGTTTAGTTCTATGCATTGAGTTAGATTGAAGTAACTAAAAAGGTACGATAACGGCTGGCCGTTATTTGAGGACGACGTGCATTGTTGGCATGAAGGAAGTGATCGACGTCAGCTGTTGATAAATGTTTTGCTGTTGGGATGGTTCTGATGGGTGTTCGTTTTGTAGTTGTCTGGATGAGGAGCGAGCTTTAGGCAAATTCCGAACATCCGAAAGAAAGCGTAGTCTTGAGCAATTTTCCTCAATTAGTGTTTTTCTATTGTATGGTGAATGTGTGGCAGTTTATTTTAATGTGTAAGGTCTAGTTTTGTTAAATATAGGTTTGATAATTCGAAAATTAGTTTTGGGTGTTTGTTCTGAGTAACGGTTGTCGATGATGCCCTTATGCACGTACTTCTCGGTGCTCTTTTCTGTGTGTTTTAAATTGATGATCCGACGTAACAGTCCGTAACATGTCATAAATTTTCATGTTTGTGTCTGCCGTATTCTTTGAATCGCGCTGTTATCAAATTCTATTCCCTATCACCTGGTCATGACTTATTTTTGAGTGATCATCAAATATTTGTTGTTTGTTGTGCACTCAATCATCTCGTAGACAGTCGGCTCTGTGTCTGTTTTTAACGAGCACAAAATCGACAAGAAAAATGGAAGAATGGAATGATTCACGTGTTGTGCCATTTCTCGTTTGAAATCGTGTTGTTCAAGCGATTGCTTCTTTTCATGTGATAGTCTCGTTTCACTTGTGCTCTTTGTATTGATTATTCCTTTCATCGTCCTCGTTTGTGTTCAGTGCGAAGCATTCATTCCATTAACGTTATGTGCGTTGTTATGAAATCCGTGCAAATGAGATAATTTTGTTGTTTTTAGTTAGTCAAAGATCATCAGCAGTATTTTCTCTGATTATATTTATATCTAACAGTCACCTGGATTCATTGATGCGATCACTTTTGTGTTCAGTTCAACTGAAGAACTATTCAACGGAACCTTCAAAAGAATAATATCGGATTTGTGATCATTTTTTTCAATGTACAGAAAATTATTGTATCGCACCGCGCTCTCTCAGCGACTGATCGCTTCTACGTTACATCGGTATGAAACTAACTTCGACTTTGTTTGTTATCACTGTCCGTCCCGAAATTATCATTTTAGCTTTCATTAAGCACTCCCAATTTTCATTCTTTGCCATTTTAGCTTTCTTCTCATTTCCTCATAAACCATTCCTCATTTCGCGGTAACATAGATATCTGTATGGTCACAACGATATTTCGTGATTGTGAGGTTTTTTTCAGAGAAAAGTATCGCTTGATACAGGTAGTGAATGAATTTGTTGTAAGAAAGCAAATTGAATATAGCGCATTCAAAAGCCCCATCGCAGATTGATGATCTGTGAATTTATTGAACATATTTGAAAATCATCGAAAGTTTGTGATAAATATAATTTCAAAGAAATGGAATGCATCAACAACTTTCGGTGATAAACTTGGTACGATTAGACTTTGTGAGGACGCTTCACAACACATCGATTCGATATGCTTCAGTGGAGAGGAGTAAAGTCGAAGAGACTTTACAAATGCTCAGAGATGATCTGCAACATCAGGAAAGCGAACGGGAAGCAGCCAGGAAAGGAATGGTTCGTTTATTCGTTACGTTTATCTCATCACCCGGAGCAGTGAATTGCTCATACGCTGGATTGATTGATTGTATATCGAGTCATTTTCATCCTTATCGCAAAAGTCACGCAGATGATTCACGTGCCAGAGCAGCTGTGGTTTGTGTCCAAATGAGCTGGCAGTACTAGTGAAGAAAAAAAAAAACTATTTCGAGAGTAATAAATTGGTGATAAGTGGTGAAGGGAAGTGTGAATAAGTGGACTTAATCCCTTCATTTTGTTCGTTTTGAAATGCAATTCAAATGCAATTTCCACATCGATCGACAGTTAGACCATCAAAAAAGTTTATTCATTGTGATAAGAAAATGCATCGTAGTTATTGATTCATAACGGTGAAGGAGAATGGATGATGACGAAATATTTGCGTTGTTCGATCTGAAATTGTAATGACATTTCACAATGCAAGTTTTATCTGTATGCAGAAGAGTAGGCATTACCATTCTGGAAGAAACTTCAGCTCTTAAGAGGTTGTTATAATGACATAACAAATATAATATTAATAATGTTGTTAGCAATAAAAATCATATTGATAATAAGCCAGTAAGAATTTGACCGCAGTTTAGTTGGCAAAGAAGGATGCCGTGAAATTATCATTGATGCGACGAGCGGGCAATGAATTGAAACACTACTATCATGGATTTCGTTTATTGGCGTTGGAAACACGATTGAGTGCGAAATATTTGTGGAGACTGGCAAGGGGACATTCATTAATGCGTAAAGAGAGGCAACAGTTGATCAGAACTGTATCGGATTTATTCCGTTTGGTGCCATTCTCGATATTCATCATCGTACCATTTCTGGAATTCACCTTGCCAATCTTCTTAAAATTATTCCCAAATATGCTACCAAGCACATTCCAAGAGGAATCCAAAGAGGTCGGTCTCTTAATCCATTTCATGCACCTTCTTACTGTTCAGTATCATGTGTGCCTGTATAATAATTCATCATCATAACATGTCTCGTTCCGCTCTCTATTTGTTACCGCATCTAGTCAATATATTCCTATCATGGTGAGTGTGATTTATTGGTTAACGTGAATCGTGAAGATACCAGCTTAAAGCCTAGTTTTCGCTTGATTTGATAGAAATGAACGTGTTGCGATACAAATTATCATCTATATCATTCTTTTGTTCGCTACACTTACGAACAATTGCTTTTGAAAGTTATATTCCAAGTTCCGTGGGATGGAATAATTGCTCTTAGTTATAACTTCAAACGTCACATTTCTGGCCGTAACCACAAACGTCAACTTGTTTCGTTTATTGTGACAGTTTCAATGCAATAAAAGAACAGACTTCTCCATTCTGCCATTGTATTCACTCTTCAAAACTGCATCAAGCACTTGTTAATAACGTCTGAATTTGATATTTTATTACATTTGCAAACAAATGAAAGAATATTTCAGCGAGAAAAAATTCAAAGGAGACTA